TTCTATCGAAGTAGAGCCTTCTCGGCCAAACCTCTTACCGTACTTCTAACTAAACCGGAAGTCAGGTCGTTTGAGATCTCGACGAGTTTGAACTTTCGATAGAACACCGTCCCTTCACTAGATCAGTCACAGTGGCAGAGATTAGAAGGCACTGCAAGTCCCAGCACTCCAACTCCCAGAATGCATCGTTCATGAACAAAAGGGTGTCCTAAGAATATAACATAGTCCTATAATAATGACCTCGCTTCTTTAAATAGCTCTGACATTGGGCAACTCTACTGTCACACAATAGGTAAATCACTTCAGGCTGGAAGTAAGGTAATCAGGCACGCACAGGAAGTTGTGCTGGGAAAGAACAGGAAGTAGGGGAGGAGCCATTGCTGCAACTGGCAGCCAGGTAATGACTTCTGGTACTTTATTGCTATAGAGGGTAATACCTGGACAGACAGGCGTGTGATGCACAATGTATATCATATATATATATATATTTTGTATGTACATGTGCTGTGAGTTTTTGGCATTGACTGTTGTCAGGCATTAGGATGCAATCTAAAGATCAGCAATAATAAAGGGGGGCGAATCACAGCACTGTGTAGCAAACCTGGCCAAGGGTTGTTGAGTGCCGCCATTCCGGGTTGCCTTCAGATGGATGACGCATGGACGGCACCAGCCCCATTTTTACCAATGCCCCCTTTCAATAATACACATGATCATGACGCCGTGTGGAAACCTAGAGGTATCGGGTCCACTGGGCGCGTTGTGGCCTTGGGTTGCTGGCATTCAGAATAGGTCGGGTTGTAGGCGTCATGGGTTGTGTCCAACATAAAAAAATGTAGGCACTGTCTGTCCGCCGTCTACTCACCGGACGTATTCTTTGTTCCAGGATCGGGCCGAGGCCACGGTGGCAAATACGGTGATGGCAGAGCAAGGCCCCGGCTGAGCACGTGAGCGCGTCCTTGAGGATGGACGAGGGCAGAAGCAAGAGGACGGAGAGGATACCACACCTCGCTCTGGACATTCTCTACCTATTGACTGGAGAGGTGAGGAGGATTCTGGGAGGTCACATGACATCACCCCTATCTCTATTCATAAAACACAGACCTGACCGGAGAGGTGAGGAGGATTCTGGGAGGTCACATGACATCACTCTTTATTAATAAAACACAGGCCTGACCAGACAGGTGAGGAGGATTCTGGGAGGTTACATGATATCTCTTTATTAATAAAACACAGACCTGACCGGAGAGGTGAGGAGGATTCTGGGAGGTCACATGATATCTCTTTATTAATAAAACACAGACCTGACCGGAGAGGTGAGGAGGATTCTGGAAATGTTTTCCTGTTAATGGATATAGGACTGCGCCTCTTATTCCGCAGGACTATGTGGTGGTAAAGAAGACCTTCATAGATGAATTGCGCAGTAACCAAAGCCCCAGCATGAACCCTCCTCCTCCCTTCCTGACACCAGAGAGAAACAACGACGAGAAGGTTCTAGACGTCACCCAGAAGATCATGGAGCTGCTGACAGGAGAGGTGAGCGGTGCCGGGAATTCTGGGACATGATCCAGGAACAGACAAGGGATGTGTCTGGGTGGTGACTGTATCATTGTGTGTGTCAGGTTCCTATAAGGTGTCGGGATGTCACTCGTTCTCTTGCAGGATCGGGGCTCTCTAGAAAGACCGAGGGATCTGAGGAGGGATGTCTCCATGAAGAGCCTTCATTCGATTACTCTTCTCGGTAAGATAAGTTTTTAGAGGTCTTCTTGGCCTTTCATGCCTCCATATACACCTTGTCTGTTTTCAGTGGGGACATTAGCCCTCCAATTAAAGTGTCCCTCTCATGGCCTCTTCTCCTCTGCTATGGTGACAAGTTATTAGGCCAGGCCAAGCGTTTCTTGGAATCATACTCCATCACTCAATCGTTTTCTTCCTCATGGATACATGGATACTTCCATCCCCT